CACTCACCTGATCTAATGCCCTGTAATTTTTTTTAAGGGGATACCTCAAGGCAGAGGGTTTTAGACATCACCCCACAAACCTGCTTCAGCTGATGAATGTTATTCAGCAGGAAGTAGCCCAAATTCCGGTGCACATGTTGGAACGTGCAGAGGGGAACTTCAGAAAACCTTCAAGATATTTTGTTTAAAACTACATGATTTAAAACTTTAAAGTGTGTTCTTTCATTAGCTAAACATAAATGTTGTCTATCAGCAATAATTTTTCTTTTATTCACCTTCAAAAAAAGGAAGGTTCTGCGCCCCACTCTGTATAATCACAAATCTTCTGAAAGTAGGCTTAGAATTGATATTCACGAAAGACATACGAGTAAGAGTATAGTTCAGGGATGATGCATTGTCAAAAACAGTTGTATGAGATGATTTACTGTATTCAAGGACAGCTGTGACACAGTTAGCAGTCTCCCCCATGGCTACAAATACTGTTCACCCACGTGAACATTGACAAAGTTAAGAACCTTGTTCTGGATAACAGTTAAGTTGTCCATGAGCACTATTGCTTTCAAAACTGATCACAAGAGGGGTTGCAAAGGTGCTGGGTCAAATATGAACCATTCTCAAGCACTTTATGGGTCCTTCATACTTCTAGCCAGAATAGGTTAATATTGTCATATGTTGAGTGACTAGTCATGTGGTTTGGATTGGTGATTGGATTTACTGGACTCTTGAAACTCGGAACTACAGGTGACTATAAATGACCAATTCACTCAGTTTACAGTTCACTGTGCTGCACCCTCCAAGTCTTCACTATATACTGGCTGGTGACTGTTTCACATCTGACCCATGGCTCCAAGTGTGTCCTCACATTCTCAAATAACTCTCAGTTTCAGTTCCAGTATAGCCTCAGAGTGCTCCACAGAAAACACCACCTATAACATTTCCTCTGTTTTTGTGTACATAACTGTTGCTGCAACAAATGCTTGCTTAATAGGACAGTCACCTGTTTATTGTGCTATAACCTAGTAAAAGATGTATCTTCTCACTCCAGAATTCTGTCTTTGAGCCCTCATGTCACAATATATTTTGTCTTGCCTGCAGTATATTACAGTGTATTTCCTGCTATGATGTTTTAATTTGCGTGCCTCTCTTGTTGCTCTCTACAGAAATGGCTGTAGCATGGTGGAGCTATGGGATGTGGAGGATCCGGCGAACGCTCATAATCCTGCATTATGTCCACAGCTGTTTGTCCAGACTCCTGCACCATTCCATCGTGTTTTTGCTAACGATGCATATGTTGTGTTGCGGCTACACAGTCAATATGTGGAACTGAATCCTTTGAAGGTTTATAAGCTGTAGAATGGACTTGAATACATTGGTGATTGAAGCACCGACCTATTTATTCGAGGCAATAGACTTGAGAAAGTGCTGAAATGGAAGCTTCTTTTATAATGGTGTTACATTCTGTGGAACAGAAGTGAAGCCTGTGATTTATGCCCTGTGAATAATTTTAAGAAGTTTTTATTAAATTATGTAGTGGAAATGAAGATATGTGTCCAAAGTGCAATATGCTTGTAGAATGTATTAAACTAACTGCAGTAACTAAAACTTTAAAATTAAGTAATTTTAACTAAATTTAAGCTTCATACACAACAGAACTGTATAATCAAATTAAAAGGTAAAGTAATGTGAATAAGTAATTATAAAATTAAAAAATTAATAATTATATGAAATTGAAATTTACTGCTAGGATAAATAAATTGTCAAACATGTATTTGGTCCCACAGAATATTAACCCTTTGACGGAGTCATTTAAATTCCGCGGCCGCGTCTCCTGCGGTAATATATTCAGCCAGCCATTTAAATTTTGCTCGAAAATGATTTATTCATCATTCTTAAATTCTATGAGATAGGAACATGAAACTTTCACTAAAATGATCTAAAAAGGTGGTTTTATAACCTTACCTTATAATATGAGCAGCCGGTATCTCGGCAATGGAAGCAGTTTGTTTAGAATTTGAGCAGTGAATGGTACGCTTTGAAGCATGAAACTTTCACTAAAATGATCTTAAAAGATGGTTTTATAACCTTGCCTTATAATATGAGCGCCCTGTATCTCGTCAACGGAGTATGGTACGCATTGAAGCATTCTACTATACACAGCGCTGTCTCACTTCACCACACCAGTACTGCGTATCTCTCATTTGGCTCTCTTTTCCGTAAACCAAACATCTTCTGTGAGGCCTTGCATTCTTCCCCGTGGGGAGAATACAAGAATTAATGTCTCTCCATGAGTCATATCGCTAGCCAGATTAGCTGCAGTAAATTCAACCTTTATGTTATCATAACAAGTGTTGGTGCTTCTGCGTTTCATTTTCCATCCATTTTGGCGGCATAAGACGTCGTAGGGGTGACCACAGAATTCACGAAGTTATTCTAAGAACTATCTGGTATGTAGTGACCGAAAGCAGAGATTAGCTGGCTCAAAAAAATATTTATGGTCATCCCTCGAAACGACCACCAAGGTCAGTACGATAAAATGGAGTCAACTGGAGCGATAATACATGAAGGAATGAGTTCTTTTCCATCCCCCACACACACCCGTATCGTCACAGGGGGTGACCACAGTGTTCTGCCTTAAATTGTGGCGTTTTTCTAAGAACTGGGCCTTTGTACTGTGCGAAATCAATCGATCTTGCAAGAATAAATGTTTGGACATCCCTATTCTAAGAATTCCAATTGAGTGTGTTAGTGTGGCCAGCTCAGGGCAATATGATATTATAAACACCGTACATATCACGTCTCTGCTGTTTATAACTTCGTAGCAAAGAAAACACGACATTCATAACGGTGAAACCGCTAGCAAGAGCCACAGGAACTTTGCTGCAAGACAGGCATATGTAACGATGACTTAGCGCAGATAAAGACGTGTCATATTATACTCTGTACTACTGACAACAGGCCAGCGAAAAATCTAACAATCTACAGCAAAACCATCAATTATTATGGGCGTTATAACATAGGTGTGCAGCTGGACGAAACATACACGTCGAACCCCCCCAGACGATTTAAATACCTGACGAAACATACACGTCAAACCACGCCAACGGGTTAATAAAGCACTAAGGAGAAATTCCAATTTGAACTCATAATAAAAACAATAATTAAATACTGTATTTGAAACAGTGTATCAAGATTTCTGAACTTTTCATATAAAAATTAATTTTAACTTAAGCCATTAGCAATTTAATTTACATGAACTGTGCATATAAGAATAAAGAACGTAATCTGTTCAGATCCAAGATCGGGTCACGTAGGATTTGTGATGAGCAAAGTGGCACTTGGGGAGGTTTTCTCCAAATACTGTGGTTTACCCTGCCAACTGGCATTCCACCAACTTCTCCACATTTACTGATCACCCTGCCATCCAGTGCTGTATAGTCCTGATAGTGACAGCATAATGAAGTGACCAACCATATGGTCCTAGTACTTAATTAAATTGGTTAATGTGGTGCAAAACAAAACATCTCATTTTTCAACTCTAGTATATAGGCTGGCCATTGAATGCGTGTTGTACCTGTCTAATGGCACACTCTCTTCCAGTGCTCCTTCCGATAGTTAAATGTGTTGAAGCTTACGCTTGATACATTTGAGGTACACTTGGTCATCGACTTACGACCGACTTCCATTCTGACTGACAGGTCATAAGTCAGTCTGGTTGTATGTCGGCCATATATTTATTAACAGTATTTTTAAACCTTTCTAATCTTTTTATCATCTTTATAATTTATTTTTAAAAACTTTTACATTTTAATCATCGTTTATTTTTCATTTTTTTGTGGTCGTAAGTCGATGACCAAGTGTACTGACATTTGGTGCAAAGAAATGTTCGTCTGAAGAAAGTGATGATCTGTCTTTGGAGAACATGAGTCACATGATGATAAATCAAACATGGGTAAGGCGTCATTGCAAATTTTCACTGTAGTTTCTTCTGCTGTTTGAGAAGTGCAGTCTGGCATTATCATGGTTGGTAGAGAAGCCGTGTCTCATCGAACAGTCTCCCTCTTCCAGAGTTTTGAAAGCTAGAACTGAGCATATTCTTCTCCAGATATCATGTGTAAGAGTAAGCTGGTACCATCTGCTTTGTGCAGATGCTGCTGAATGAAAATTCCTCAGCAACAGTGGAGCAGAGTGAATGCACTTAGGGGACTGTTGTTCAGATCATAGAAACAAAGCCATGTTTCATCACTATTTTCACTTTAAGAGCCTGTCCACCATTGTGCTCAAAGTATCTCAGCACATCTGTACATGCCTTAAGGTGCGGCAACACAGAGCGTTACGTACACTATATTTGTTATACGAAAAGAAAAATATCTCCCTTTATTGCCAATGTGACTGGCCACACAGACTTCCATACGCTACATACGCTATGTTCTCTATGTTAGCTGCGTCACAGAGTGTTTGATTTTCGGCTATATTTTTAAAACATCGCGCTGGACAGGCATGTGCACTGGGCTCACTTCCATGTGTCAGCTGCGCACGTCAGTAATTTCCCACTCTGATTACAACACGTGTTACGTATCATTCAGCGCAGTATTCGCTTAGATGAAAATGACAATGGAGGAATTAATTGAAGAAGTAAGGAAGTATCCATGTTTGTGGAACAAAGGGTTAGAAGAATATCGGAACCAGAATATGCGGGATAATGCCTGGGACATGATTTCTGGAGAATTGAATACACCAGGTAATGTACAAACATTGTTCTTTTATCTATAAGTGAAGAACTTAAAATATTTTCATCAACCCCATTCATTCGGAAATATCCTTTAAATTTAACTTCATCTTCATGTAACTGCTTTATCAGATGATGAAATTCACCAAACTTTGTTCTTAAGTTCACGCCATGCACCCACTTCCTTTTACGTTTACACAAGGAAAGTAACAGCAAAAGCTCATCGTCAGAATCATCGCTGCCCCCCCACGGCAGACTATTGGCCACCATCTCATTCAAGACTGAGCAGTTTCATACCAAACATAGCTTTCTGTGTAGCCACACGGTGTAGCGAACATAGCGTAGCACTCTGTGTGGCTGCACCTTTACACTGCTTTTGCTTGAGAGTTGACTAATGAAAGATCCATGCTGATTTTGATATTTGCAGATAATTTGAAAGGTTGAATGGAAGCTGTTGATGGAGACTGATTACAGAAGTGCTAATTACTGGATTGAAATTCGGTGATCTTTATTACAAGAACTGGTTACAGTTTTATGATTCAAGTTTTTAAAATATTCGGTTAGCAGTAGAACTTCTGGCCTTGTGCCTTCATTTCTAACATTTACACTTGCAAAGATACTGAAGTAAGGTTTATATTCTGCCAGCATATTGTACATGTATGTCAGTAACTGGCAAGTGTGTAATGTTGAACTACAACAGATCATTTGTTACACTCACTGTTCTCAGTCAAGTTATATACTCAGTTCTGTACAAAGTATTATATTGCATTTGTTTATAAAATATTTTGAGAAAATGGATTTAGTTTGTATGGTTGATATGGTTTGAAATGTTCTTCAGTTAGTGAGAGTGTTCTGAAAGATATGTCTGTGACTGATCATGTATTGTGTTTCAATAGGTGTTGCTGTGTGTACTCGTAACTTATTGCTTGTTTTCTATGTTGTGATTTCTGCTGAAGCAATATATAAGCTTGCTACCCCTGAAATATAAAATTGATTTATGACTGTATTTTCCTGTAATTCCTTAATTTAAAGGTCTAAGCAGCCCACATTTAACCCTTTGAAGCATGAAATCCGTCAATATCATATATAAAAATTAAGTTTTTGTTTTAATATGTGATTTCTTAACAGTTACACTCCCTATTAATTATGATTTTAATGAGGGTATCATCCAGTGTAACATACGAGGGGTCAAACAGTTCCCGGAATGGTGGTATAGCACTCTAATGGTAGGACGTTTGGCAACGCTTACCTAATCACCTTCAAAGTATGACCCTTGCGCACACACACACTTGCTCCATTGATCCTGCCATTGTTGGAAGCAGCGGTGGAAGGCTTCTTTTGAAATCTTCCAGAGCTCAGCCGCTGCATTCGATTTGATGTCCTCCATGGTTGCGAAATGTGTCCCCATGAGGCCCATTTTCAGATTAGGGAACAGCCAAAAGACACTCGGAGCAAGATCCAGAGAGTACAGTGGTTGAGTGATGACAGGAATATTTTTCTCGGAGAGGAATTGCTGCACAGCAAGCGATGTGTGGCTTGGGTGCGTTATCGTGATGCAGAAATCACTGTCCCTGCCACTTGTCGCGCCGCTTCCTCCCAACCGCATCGCGCAACCTCTGCAAAACTTGCACATACAAATGGCCAGTAACAGTCTGTCCAGGCGGTACGAACTCATGGTGCACCAAACCATCGATGTCAAAGAATGCAATGAGCAACACTTTGTCTTTGGATCTGATGAGGCGTGATTTTTTTTTGGCCAGGGTGACGACGCTGTGTGCACTCCGTGACTGCATCTTCTTCTCCGGATCGTAGGTGAACACCAAAGACTCATCACCAGTGACGATCTTTTTTGAGAAACATCGGGTCCTGCGTACTTTTGTGAAACAAATTGCCAGCGACCATCATGCAACATTCCATCTGATCCGTGGTCAGCTGCCTCGGAACAAACTTCGCACTGACGCGTCTCATCTTCAAATCATCAGACAAAATGAATGGATCCGCGAGAGATGCCAACTTCTTGCTCCAACTCCACGATGGCCATTCTTTGATCACATCAAATCAGTTGTTGCACTTTTCCAATCATTTCTTCGGTTCTGGATGTCGAAGGTCTCCCGCTGCGC